CCCCTGTAAAAATCAAAAGAAGTTAAACCCTGACGTACAAAGGCGCAGGGCACACATTCCGCTCAGAAGGGAGGAATAAGGGGGCACAAACCAACGGCACCAAAGCAAGACCTAAGTCCAGCAGGGCAGATAATCCTGTAGCTCCATGCACAGCACCTGGGGCGAGCTGTAGCAAAGTGGGAAAAAGAACCAAACTGATGCCATGTTATACTCAGGCACCATCTTAGAGGTTAAATTTCTGTTTCCTTAAGTTTGTTTCTCGTAAATGTTGTCATGGTTACCTAACCCAATACCACCCCGTGCTTTGTCATAAGACCACTTGTTCCCTAAGCCCCTTTGTTCCTTTGTCACAAGCTGAGCCCATCCTTTGTAGGAGTATTTCCATAGCTGCACTAAATCAAATCAGAAAAAAACTAATCACCCCCCCCCAGACCCAGAACTAGAACTGTATAAATATTCTCCCCTCCTAGCCAGTCATGGTGGCGCACGCCTGTAATCCCAGCACTTGGGAGGCTGAGGCAGGAGGATCGTTGGGAGTTCGAGACCAGCCTGGGCTACAAAGTGAACTCAAGGCCAGCCTGAACTGCAGAGCGAGACCCTGTCTCAAAAAAAGACAAAAAACACAAATATTCTCCCCTCCTGCCCTTCGGGGTCAGTACTTGGTCATGTACTGGGTGCCCACCACCGGCTAACAAACGTGCTTGTCTCTGTATCCGGCCTCTGTTGGTGACTCAGGTAAGTGTGTTGCCACAACAGAGATGTGAACTGCAGAGGGCTTGGGTGGCCTGCCCTACAGCATTGCCAGTGTTTGTAGTCCTCAGCGTTTTTCTCTTGGGCAGGCTTTTCACTCCTTGTGGATTTACTTGGATGTTTCGTGTTGCTGGCTTACCAACATCCTGCAGTCTCCACTGCACTTTTGACTTTACTCTCACAGCTTCACACACTGCCCTCTCCGGGGCACACTCCCTGGCCTCCCTAGCCTTCTACTGAAATCTGGGTGAAAGCCTTCTAACCTCACACATCTTGCATTCTGCATATCCTTTTCTTTTCTTTTTTTTGAGACAGGGTCTCACTATGAGTTCAGACTGGACTTGAGCTCACTTTGTAGGCCAAGGTGGCCTTCAACTTGCAATGATCCTCCTGCCTCAGCCTCCCAAGTGCTGGGATTACAGGCATGCACCACCACGCCCAGCTCTGCATATCTTTAAAACTACGCGGGTGACATTAATGTCTACCTACGCCTGCAGCAGTTGCCTGGCCCTTTCACATCATGGCTACTGGGCCTCTGAGTGGATGGCTGAGCACTGACCTGAATCCCAAATCCCTGGGAATCAATTTCTAGGAGGCACTTTCTCCAGCACAGTGCCCTAGGGCGCTCTTCTCAAAGCAGTTTCACTTTTACCCCCCAGAGGGTGGGGTCTTGCTCTTTTCTGACATGCCCTCAAGCCTTTTTTCCTGTTGTCCTAATCCAAGTTACTTGGCTTCGTTTGAATGTTAATCTTTTCAGCAATCAAGATGTCCCCTGCTCCAACTTGTGGGCCTCAATTTTAGGAGTTCTCTTTCTGGCAAAACTCAAAACTGTTAAAATTACTCATTTATGATGCTTGCTCCTGATTTTCCAACAAAGAACTGGCTAAAATAAGTATCCATGCCATTGCCTCAGCATTAGGCTTCCCTGAAATTTCCTCTGCCAGATTGATTACTCCACTGCTCTTAATCTTAGTCTCCCCTAAAGTCTCAGGACATGAGCAAAATACAGACAGATACCCTGCCAGAGCAGAACACGCAAGGCCTGCAGCCCGACTGCCAATGGGGTTTGTGTTCTCAGCTGAAATTTCCTGAGCCTGGTCTTTACCATGTGCATTTCTATGGGTATTCTGGTCTGGTGCCCTTTGACCAGAAGCAGCTTGCTGCATTCCAGGGCTTCTGCAGCCAGGATCACTACACCTTTCCAAACTCTTCCTTTAAACTGGTTGCAAAGACGTCTAAACCACATGGTCAAGTACAGCCACAGCAGTGACCACGTTCTCTGGTACAGCATCACTTTCAGTTACTTTCTCGTCCCTGGGACAAGATACCTGACAGTTTAAGAGAGGTTTATTTTGGCTCACATTTCAGTCCATGGTTGGCTGGCTCCAAGGCATGACGGCATGGGGCAGGGCACGGTGGAAGTCAGTCACTCAGGGCGCGGCCCACAGGAAGGGTAGAGATGAAGGGAGAAGCCGGGGAGGAAGATGCCCCCTTCCAGGGACTCACCTCCTCTGACCGGCTCCTCCTCCCAGCCTGACATGCAGGGGTAAACTCACTAGCAGACTAAGTGCTGATGAGTGTCACACCCCCACGATCCAGTCTCTTCCCTCAAAGTCCCCCCAAGAGTGTATGAGGCCTTGGAGGGACATCTAGATATAAACCATGTCACAGTGGCAACAGGGAATCCAGGAACTGGGGGGTGATTACAAAGGGACAACAGCGTGTAATGTTAGTAGCAGGAGAAGAAAGTGGAGGGGAGCGATTAGAATCAGAATATAAGCAACCCTACAATTTTGTTATAAAGGAGATGAAGAGAAGTGAAGCTCTCAGGAAAGGGAACAGACCCAAGAAGGAGACGATGTGATGCTGCAGGAGAGGGGGCGTCTTCCTGGCAGCGTCCTCAAGGAGGCAGGAGAGGATGGGACCTGGCGTCAGGTAGAGGGCTCAGCCGGCGGGCAGGGAGCCAGAAGAGGGCAGGGCTGGCACAAACTCTCGCACACTTTACCAGCCCCTCGTCATGGTAAGGGTTTTTGATCCTGGGAGAAAGGCATCAAATTTGCAAGATGAGATCTCAGTAGGCCAGCTGGCGACCCCATGTTCATGTGATATGCTACGGTCTCCCCTCGTTCCCGAGTGTGTATGGCAACAGTGGTGTATAGGGCAGTGTTGGAAGGTCTGGCTAAAGCAGTAGTTGACAAAGCCTGCCGTCCAGGGCACACATTGAGTGGCAAACAGAACACCTGTCAGATGGCCAGTGGTTCTGAGGACACAGAGCGGGGCAGGGAGAATGTGGAATTAGGGGTTGCTGCTATAGTCTGACGGGTCAGGAGAGATAGCTGATAAATCGTGTCTGAGTAGAGACCTGAGGAAGTGAGTGAGCCAGAAGGGCAAGAGTGGGCCAGGCTCTCACATCTGTCTCTACTTTATGAGCAGGTGCATGTAACAGAAGGCAGGTGATGCCCATTTGTGCCCCCTCCCCCATGTCAGCCACTACTGGACATTGATGCTTGGAGGCACTGAGCTACGTTAAATTTTATCTTTTATTTTAAGACAAGTTCTCAGAGTTGCCCAAGCTGGCCTCTAACTTGCAACCCTCCTGACTCAGCCTCCAAGTAGCTGAAATTACAGGTATGTGCCCCCCTAACTAGCAACACTAATTTATGTCTACATTGATACTGTTTATTAAATGTAATAAAGCTTTAAACACATTTTATCTGCTCTTCCTGAATATACAACTCCATGTATACTTTTTTCCTCCTTCTGAATATTAGACTTGCTGTTTTACAGATTCAACTTCTCCCTATTAGCTATATTTAGTATTTCCTCTTTCATCAGATCTGACAGCCTGGTGAGTGGGAACCCCACTTAACAGGCTGGTTGTCTTCTCTACTACTTCAGATATTTTTAGAACTGCCCCCATTTTCTGGCAACAAGACATTCCAGACCCGCCAAGATCCTTGCCCCAAAACAAACACCTCCTTTCCAAGGTATACTGCATAGTCCTAGAGGCCCACACTGGCCCAGGGATAGGTATACTCTCATATAGCTAATTTCCTTCTGTAATTGTACCTACTTAAAATTTAAACATCTTAACTGGATAAATTCTGTTATATGGACAGAATGGGATACTCATCAGCAAGAAGCAGCAATGGGTTACTCCTACATGTTTGTAGATGAACATCAAAAGCGTGCATGGGCTGGGGACATAGGTCTGGTACAGTGCCTCCCTAGCAAGTGCCAGACCCTGGTTTCATCTCCAGCACTGTGAGAAAAAAGTCATGCTAGTGAAAGAGGCCAGACACAAAAAATGTCATGTAATTCCATTTCTTTGACATGTCCATAGGGGCTGGGGCTGTAGTTCAATGGTGTGTGCCTACCATGTACAGGGCCTTGTGTTCAGTTCTCAGCCCACACACACGCGAGCACATACACACACACACACACAAAGGTAAATCTGTAGACACAAAGCAAATCAGTCACCTGGGGTTAGGGGTAAAATGGAACCTTCTGGAATGACAGAAATGGATCATAGTGGGGTACTGCACAAGTCTATAAACTTCAAAATCACTGCATTTAGCATGGGTAGATTTTGTTGGTGTGTAAATTATACGTCCATAAAATGGTAAAAATTAAACCTTCTTCCTCTGGCTGATTGTACTGACGTAGACATTCCATTTCATTAACTTCTTCAGTAACGAAGAAAACAGAAAACAGTTTCCGTACTTGCCCTTATGATGTTGCTGGGGATCCATGCAGGGGCTCACAAATGTTAGGAAAGCAGGACCACTGCGCTGTTTCTCCAGCCCTACCCTCTTTTTTCTTTTGAGACAGGGCCCCACTATATAGTCCAGGCTGACGTTTAATCCATTTCATAGCCAGGCTGGCCGTGAACTCCCAGCAACCCTCTTGCCTCAGCCTCCCAAGTGCTGGGATTACAGGTGTGCACCACCACACTTGGTTGCCTTATTCTTTTTTTAAACAGCTGTATCCCTGTTCAGATCTCCAGTAAAACAATTTATTGCTCACCTGTTCATTCCTACCTTTGTCACGCGGGTGCTTCATTTTTATAAGCTCTTCCTTACATTGACAAGTGAAGATAGCCATAGACAGTGGCTACTGCTATGCTCGAGACCTCGCTGTGAAGGCCAGCTGCAAAGCTTTCTCACGTGCTACTTCCAAAATATCTACTATTTGGAATCAGAGCTTCAAAGGACAACCTTCTTTGGGGACGGAGATCCATGAATGACACGTTTTGTTTGAAAATATTGGATTTAATAGAAAATAGCACATTGTAAACAAGTCCATCGATCCATGGATCCATTAGCTTAACACAGAAGGGCAGCACAATCACGTGTGACAGCTAATGACAAAATGCTGGTAGCAAACACAGCTCTGAGGACCGAGCCTGGCTCTGAGAAATCTTTCCAGAAATGGGCAGCAGGACCTTCCAGCGGGCACAGAAACGGAGGAATCGGAGCCAGCAGCCACTCCGCAAGGGTTTCAGAGCGTAACAGCAGGCAGAGCAACAGCCCATCCGGGAAGGAGCGCTGCAGGACAGACCGAAGGGCCGTTTCCCAGAATCCTGAGAACATCAGCCCACACGAACCTGAGTGGGCTCTGGGCCCGGGCATGTTAAGTGGGGGAGACAATACCAGAAGCCCCTGCTGTGTGCCTTGGCACTCAATTCTTAAGGAGGCAAGAACGTAGAGCGCTATACTGCACGCCGTGACTAAACTCGAACCGAGCTCCTGGCCAGCTCATCACCCTGGCCTCTTGCTTACTGGTGAACACGTAAGAGACCTCTGACAAAAACACCGGGCTCCAGTGGGAAGAGGGTCCCTGTGGAACCTTGCGGGACCCCACAGGAGAGAAGTTTGCTGTGGCTGGGCCCCTGGAGCTTAGACTCACTGGCAAAAATCACCTTTAGTCCCACACACCAAATCCTCCCACACGGCAGCCTAGCAGTTCACAGAAGGGCCAGCTAGGAGAGCCCAGAAAACTGCCCCTTCTCTCCCTGGGAGAATTTTCTTTCTACAGTACCGGTTACTGACCAGAGGTGCCGCTCCCTTGTTCCTCGTATGTAATTTAGGTAGTGAAGAGTGCTCCTCATTCCTGAATAGCGATTCTCAGATAAAGGGCAGGCCTGTGTGAGCGAAACTGTGAAGACTCCAAAGATCCTGTATCCAAAATACACAAGCCCCCACTCCCCACCCCCTTGAGGACAAGCGCACCTAAGGACAGGAATTCCAGATGGGAGCGTGCTGTGTGTGTGAACAACGCCTGAGGCAGAACAAAGAGCTAAGAGCCCTAACTTGGGGGTGGCAGACATCAAAATAATGGAGCACACTTTTCAGAGATTTTTTTTTTTTTCTGATTAAGTTATAAGTCATTCTCCCTATGGCTAAACTGCATGACTAGGCTTCCAGCCTCAGAGCCAGGAACACCATACTCAATTAAAGAAAGACAATGCTTCTCTGCTAAAGACAATTTCCAGAAAGATCTGCCTGTTTCTGTGAGGTGCCTGACACTAAGTCCCTCACAGACTAATCACTGTATGGTTTTTTAGAGGACTGGCTTTTCTCCACTTCTTTCATACTGTACAGGGGGTCCACCAACTTGTTATGGACAAGCATCAAACCTATAAAAATAAAAAAAACATAGTTAATGCAGATAGCAGAGTCTGACCGTTTCACAGTAACATCCAGAACCTCTCAAATCTTGTCCTAGAACTGACACTTAGCTCTTTTCTCTGATCTCCAGGTGATAAACACTCTTAAGAGTGGGAAAAGAATTTCTCATTCCCAGCGAATACAGAATTCCTGAATTTCTGTCAGCCCATCTACTACAGGAGCGGGCTATTTAAAGGTCAGTCTAAGAACAGATGCCTAATTTACACACTTAGTGAATAAGGACTTTTTCATCTAAGTTTGATTAAAGCAGTAGGTATCTTTTTGTGTGTGTGTGTGTGTGATGGTGCTGGGGATAGAACCCAAGGTTTCACACATGCTAGGCCAGCACTCTACCCCTGAAACACAACCTCATCCCTCCAGTCAGTGTCCTTTTAATGTGAAAGAAATAAAGATCCCCACGAGAGCTTTTCAGGACCTCGCCTAGAAGGGAAAGAACGCTATGAGGCCTGGACACAGACACCCTGAGCGAGGCTCAGTGTCATGGCAAGGAGACCAACACAGACACTGGACACAACTCTGCCTGCATTTTCTGGCCTCCTCCTCGATGGACCCCTGCCATCACCCACGGAAGAGAAATGACCATATTGTGGGGCAGTAGGGGTTGGTTTTTATTAAAGTCATGGGTGTCAACTCGAGTGTCCGCTCCTCACTCCCACCATGAGCTGGGCCACATATGCCCACGCCTGCCCCCTCACCTTTGAAATACTTGACGGTCTTCACTTTCAGCTCCAGGGTGGCGTCCTCGTCGCACACGAACACGGTGCGCGGATGCTGCTGGAAGGCGGACACCGTCCACATGTGGTTCACCCCCTCCTCGATGGCCTTGTACAGAGCGAACGCCTTATGCGCACCTGTGATGAGGATCATCACCTGGGGAGCAGAAACAACCGTGGCCGAGCAGTCCGGACACCTGCACTCTGGGCCAGCCACACCAGCCAGCGGGGAAGGTCGCTTGTGTAATGCCACATTCCAAGCAGCGACTGTACCACACCCTCTGCTCAGTGCCCCAGTGCTCCATCACACAACCCAAGGTGAGGGCGCTGTTTCCCCCACAGTTTAGGACGACAGGGCAGGTAACTTCCTCATTCTGGACCTCAGAGCTTGTGCCCTTCACTACCCTGTAACAGCCCCCCAGGCAACTCTGATGACGACTGCGGAGTTGCCCTATGAACAGATGGGCCACACAAAGGCCTGCATCTCTCACAGCACAGCTAGCTGAGTTAAGTGTATGAAGGGACCCCGACTTTCTGAAGCAGTGGTGGGAGTTATCTGTGAGGCGCCAGAGGCCCCTTTCGGCTTGGAGCATCAAACTTGCCAATGTGATGTAGATAATGGTGTTTGTTTACATAAAACAAAGGCATAGACTCCACGTACCAGCTGAAATATCGAGGAGGACGCGAGCGCTGGAAAGTGATCCTGAAGGGCTCAGCTGTACAGACTTCCTTTTGTTTTACTTCACTGTACTGCAGAGCTCCTGGTACTCAGTGCTCCTTTCTTAAAACACGAGAGCACGGGGCACAGAAAGTGGCTGTGACTGCCCTGCCCCTCAGCAACTCAGAGCCCAGTTTTGAATGGTTTCCTGATTTCCGGCCCCAGGTGCTTTTCCAGGTCAGATGCCCTGGAGGAACACACACAGCCCCCAAGCCCCTGTGCTCGCAAGCAGCAAGCACAGCGACCCCCCAGGTACTGATTCAGGGCTCCCCAACAGAAACGTTCTAAATCCCCAGCCCAAAGTTCACTTCATAAGCGGGGAACTTTTCCCCGATGAGATGCTTGTTTGTGGACCTGGGCAAAGAAATTCAAGGCTAAGATGTCTGTAGCTACTTCCCATTTAGTATACCTCAGAAAAGAAGAGAAAATACTTTTAAAATTCTAATGAAAGTGAGGACCCTGGAACCACCAAAAAAAAAAAAAAATCAAATCTAAACAACACTCAATTCTAGGGGGAAAACTCCCTAAATTCAGTTCAAGATGCTCTTTACTTGTTTGTTTTTGCACCTCTCTAGCCCTTTAAGAAAAGTACCTGAGGTTAGCAATTTACAAAGAGGAAAGGCCGCCCAGGGAGCAGTTTCCCCACCGCCTTCTCCTACCATAACGTACCTCATGAAGAGACCACTTGCTGAATGTCACCTGCTCATCCAGCTCTCAAAATGCAGAAAGCAGGGCTCTCTGAACATAATGAAATTTTGGCAAGAACTGCTCAGTATCTGTTGTGCTTTTTATTTTATTCTCGGGTTTGGTTTTTTTTTGAGACAGGGTCTTGCTACATAGATCAGGCTGCCTTGAACTTGCTTTTGTAGCCCAGGCTGGCCTTGAACTCACCGCAATCTTCCTGCCTCAGCCTCCTGAGTGCTGGGACTGCAGGCACGCACCACCACACCAAGCTGGTTGTACTTTTAAAAAAATTTTTGTGAATGTATGTTTATGATACATAGTAATTACATTCATCTTGGGAAACCGGTACATAAACATACTGTGTCTGTGTCATTTCTACTCCCCTTTCTCCACTTCGAGCCCTTTTTCACTTTGAGATAAGGTCTCACTAAGTTGCCCAGGCTGGCCTCGAACTTGCGACCCTCCTGGCTCAGTCTCCCAGAGTGCTGGGACTACAGTGAGGACCCACCACACTCAGCCCAACATTTCTAGTTTAACTATGCCTCACCACATTTATCAGCCCTGAGCACAAGCCTAAAACCACAGCCTCTCTGGCTTGCAGGAGAAGTGTCCCTTCAAACAGGGACCAAGAGGGTCCTCGGTACCTAGGCAGGTACAAATTCGTATTTCCACACTTGTGGTACTGGGCTGTTCTTGCCCAGGAGATGCGTAAAAGGGAAACATAAGCAGAGGCCAAGCAGCCTGCAGTGCATGGTCAGCCAGCCAAAAACAGAAAAAAAATGCTCAAAGGATTCACCTCACATTGGGTATAATGGTCACCTCCAAAGAAAGAAGGGGAACAGTATTAGGACCACCTGAAATTTTAGCCTTATTTATAACGTCTTCATCTTTAACAAGAACGTTTTCAGAGGGTGGGCAGTGTAGTTTAGTGGTAGAGTATTTGCCCATAACTCCCCAGACCTTAGGTCTGCTCCCCAGTAAAGCAAACAACCAGAGCTAGGCATGCACAAGGAGCACTAATACAGGGAATGCTGCTACCAGGTGCCATCCAAAGGAAAGCCCAGCCGGCGAAAACATCAGGTGTGTCCTATGCACCTTATCCACTAGATCCGACACCGTGTGACTTCTGGTTCTTCCCCAGGGTCAAAACAACCGTGAAAGGTCAATGTTTGAATCCGCTCAGAACACTGAGGTAGTCATAGCAGAGCAGCTGAAGACAGTGATGAAAGACTTCCAGAACTGGCTCAGAGAATGGCAAGAACTAGGGGTAAGTGTGCTTGAAGCAAAGGGAAGTATTCCGAGGGACACTAATGGCAACGTGTCTTTTATGGTGATACACGTAAAAAAAGATTATCATACTCTTTGATCCCGCCTTGTGTTCAGGTAGTACCTGTACAGCTAAAATTAACAAACAGACGAGCCCTCCCACCCCCCACAAAGCTGGCAGACCCCTGTGCCCTTACCTCTCTAGCGTCCATGACGGTGCCCACACCCACCGTCAGGGCCATGGTGGGCACCTTGGCAAGATCACCATCGAAAAACCTAGCATTGGCCAGGATGGTGTCCATGGCCAGCGTCTTCACACGGGTCCTGGACACCAGACTGGAGCCTGGCTCATTGAAGGCAATGTGTCCGTCAGGCCCGATGCCTGCAGAAAGAGACAGCCAGGGCGGCCCTGTGAGTCCTGGGGATGCAAAATTTTAAGAATGGACAATCTCTCCTTCCCTAACTGGAGTCTGAAAAAATATCCTTTAAACTATACGTCTTTTCACATCCTATCCCACGGTAGGCACGTCTTAAGCACCCGAGGTACAACAGACATTGCAACTTGCTACCAGCTTCCAAAAGCTCAGCTTCTGCCTCCACACATAACTGGGGAGTGAAACTTGTCTCTCTTGCGTGTAGCCGGGGTCCTGCTGCTGCAACAGAGTTGCAATGAATAAAGCACAGCACCTGCCAAGTTTAGAAACTCCCAGCACAGGAAGCTCCTGCCCCTCTGCTCCCCCTTCTTAGATATAAGATCTACAGCAGTAAAAGGCAGTCCAGTTTTATACCCCTGTGAGTGACTTGCAAGAGGACAACAGACAGACATGTTGCCAGCCCAGGGTAGGACAAAAGCGCAAACCTCAGAGGCAAACACCCCAGATTTCTGCCTTCTTCCTACTATTTGGGAGTTGACCCTGACTAGTCACATGACTACTCTGGGGTTCAACTGGCTATCACATAGGGGCTGTAGGGAACCTTCTGGAACTAGAGGCATCCATAATCTCAAATGTTTACATAAGTTACAAGACTGATCTCTAAGGCCTTAAGACTGGGGCCTAGGGGACCTCCAAGTGCAAATCTAAACCTCTCAATGCATACACCAGGCGTCGAAGTGCAGACAGAGGGAGTGTCCAACATCACAGTAGTTCCTGAGCAGAAGAGCCAGAGCAAAGTTCCAGAGCTCCCACTCTTTTTTTTTTTTTTTTTTCCGGTACTAGGAATCGAACTCACAACCTTGCGCTTGCCAGGCAGGTGCTGTGCTGCTGAGCTAAACCCCCAGCCCAGGGCTCCCACTCTTGACGTGGTAGATGACCCGTGTCACCGGCACAGACAACAGGCTGTGTGGAGACAGGCATGGCATCCTGGCTTCTCCCTCTGGTGATCCCAGCCTCCTGCGCCTGGCCCTGCACACGAACCAAGCTCACCTCCAACGAACAGCTCGATCCCGCCAGCAGCCTTGATCTTCTCCTCAAAGGCGTCGCACTCGGCCTGCAGGTCGGCTGCGTTGCCATCCAGGATGTGGGTGTTTTCCGGGTGGATGTCAATGTGTTTGAAGAAGTTGTTCCACATGAAGGAGTGGTAACTCTCCGGGTGGTCTCGGGGAAGGCCTGTGGGCCAAGGGACACTCGGTTGTGCCAGAGCCCTTCTCCCAAGGTGGATGCCAGGACACTCCCATGACAAACAGGGACACTCGGGACTGCCCATCAGGGAGCACGGGGCACCAGCCCACTTAGCACACGCTGAGCTCGTGTCTGGAAGCGCCACTCCATCCCCGCCACTACCCGTGACCACAGGGCCGGCAGGAGCCTGGGAAGTGCCCTCACTCCGCTCGCCCTTTCACTAGGCGATGACCACGGGCTGGGGGCGGCGGCACCCTCAGCTACGGAAGTGGCCTGACCACCTGGAGTAGGACAGGCCCATCTAGGAAAGGAAGCAAGCACACCCTTCACCCTGTAACTCCCACCTCTATTCACCCTAATTAAACCCTTGCTCAATCTGAACCCTAATTTAAACACCAGGTGGTTGGAGAAAGCTACCTCAGCGCTCCTCAAACAGACCGTTTTTTTCAGCCAGAAAGAAAAAGAATGTCTAAGGTGAATGTTTAATGTTAATCATCAAGAATATTTAAGATCAGGGCTGAAGATGCAGCTAGTGGGACAGTGCTTGCCTAGAGTATGTGAGGCCCTGGGTTTGATCCCCAGTACCACAAAAATAAAAAATGACGTAAGATCAGCCTCAAAAAGGAAAAATGCTAACGTATGCTACAACGTAGATTCACCCTGAAAACATGCACTTAAGTACTGAGCGAAGCAAAATTCAAGGAGATAGAAAGTAAAATGGTGGTTTCCAAAGCCTGGGGAGAGGAGGAAAGGGAGGGGGAGTTGAGTAATAGTTACAGAGTCTCACATTTGCAAGATAAAAAGCATTCTTGAGTTTGGTTGTGCAACGTGGACTGTACTTAACACTACCAAACTGTACATATAAAAGCACTTAAACTGGGTGTGGCTGTACATGCCTGTAATCCCAGGACTCAGGAGGCTGAGGCAGGAAGACTGCCACAAGTTCAAGGCCAGCCTGTACTACAAAGTGAGACCCTGTCTTAACAATACAAAAAAAGGGGCTGGGGATTTAGCTCAGCGGCAAAGCGCCTGCCTGGCAAGTGCAAGGTCGTGAGTTCGGTTCCCGGTACCGGAGAAAAACCAAAAAAAAAAAAAAAAAAAAAAAAAAAAAAAAAAAAAAAAAAAAAAAAAAAAAAAAATCATAAGATGAACAGGTTTTTTTGGGACAGGGTCTGGCTTCGTTGCTCAGGCCGGCCTTGATTTGGCCTCAGCCTCTGAGTAGCTGGCACCACAGGGCTGCTAACCACACCATATTTTAGACGTGATAAATTTTATGTTTATGTATTTTACAATTAAAAATGATGGTGGGTGATACAAGACAAGGTTCAGCAGTGGAAAAGCCACCATGCCAGCCCCTTCCAAGTGTACCTGGCGGCAAGGGGAGCTGGAGGGGGCATTCGTCCCACATGGAAATGGTGTGGAGTCGGAGAACAGGCAGGGGAGGAGGTGCCCTAATTATTAAGTGCTCATTCATGTTTTATTACATATGAGAAGCTTCCAGAGTTACCACAGTATTACTTAATGATCACACCCCATGAGGTCAGCTGTTTTTTTTCGTTTTCCATACTGGGGATTGTCCGCACTGAGCTATAGCCCCAGCCCTTTTTAAATTGTTAAAAATTCTGAGACAGGGTCTCACTAAGTTGCTAAACTTCCTGGGTTGGGCTTGAATTTGCAATCGTCCTGCCTCAGTCTCGGGAGGGTGTTGGGATTCCAGCCCTGTGCCACCACACCCAGCACAGGTTAGCTTTAGTAGCCCCACGTTCCAGCTGAGTATCAACCTATCTCCAAGTATCACAGCTCCCCGACATGCCCCTTTTCTTCAGGGTCATGCCTATGAGAAGACAGGCATGATTCTCTTTGAACCAGACAAGAATCCCAGAAGATAAAGACTCACCCACATACTCATCCATGTTGAAGGTCTTCACGTATTTAAAGGACAGGTCCCCATTCTTGTAGTACTCAATCAGCTTCTGATAGGAGCCAAGCGGGGTGCTCCCTGCAAGAGAGGCCTTGGCCATGAATGCCACCAACCCCAGGAACACCTGACAGACCCAGATCCTGCAAGCCCAGGGGGTGCCTAGGAATAGGGAGGGTTGTGCCCCAAAGAGCATCTATCTGATCTGAGAGAAACAAATCAGCCCTGCCGTCCTACCCAACGCTCCAGCGCTAATCGCCATCTGTCCAGCACCTACTTGGTTACTGCCTACTTCCCTCTAGAATGCAGGCTGCAGGAGAGCAGCGCGGGGTCCTCTGTCTGCTGCTGAATCCCCAGCGCCCAGCATCCCACTGACTGAAATCACTTCAACTACATGTAGCTGCGTGAGCATCTGATTACTGATGTGACAGTCTCCAAACTGCCGCTAGCGTGAGGCACGGGGCTACGGATGGGGACGCAGAGCAGAGAGCAGTAGTCTGAGGAGGCTACTTTCTAGGAGTGGGGACTGCGAAGAGGAGCATCAGCTGTGCTCTGGGGTTCAGGGAGGACTTCCACCAGGAGAGGTAGATTCATAAAACACATAATGAAAGGCTGGAGGCCCACAGGGGATGAAGAGGCTGTAGGAGGGAGGCGGAGTGTGGCCAGTGGTGGAACGCGTGCCTCTAATGCACAGGGTTCAAGCTGCTGCCATGCAAATGAACAGGAACTAAAGATGCAGGAGCCCTTAATAGCAGCCACCCATAAAAGGGAAAGATGCACAACTAGGGAAAATGTTTGAACATAGCTTCTATATTAGATAGTACTGTAGCTGGGTGTGGTGGCCCATGCCTATAATCCCAGCACTTGGGAGGCTAAGGCAAGAGGATCATTGCTCGTTTGAGACCAGGCTGGGTCTCAAGGCCAGCCTGAACTGCATAGTGAGACTGTCAAAAAGACAAAAAATTAGCCAGGCATGGTGGAACACGCCTTAAATCCCAGCACTCAGGAGGCTGAGGCAGGAGGATTGTTGCGAGTTTGAGACCAGCCTGGGCTACAAAGTGAGGCCAGCCTGAACTGTATAGCGAGACCCTGTCTCAAAAAGATTTAAAGAAAAAAAGAAAAAAGATGGTACTGTAGAATACGGTAGACCCATTTTTGGGTCTGATAATGACATGGGGGTTACGGAAGAGAACGTTCTCATTCTCAGAAGACAGAAGTTGAAAGTTTGAGACATACGGTGTCAAGATGTCTGGAACTTATTTCTGAAATAGTTTAGAGAAAAAGAATTGTGTGTGTGTGTGCATGTGTGTGTATAAACCACAAGCCAGAGAAGAATAAAAACGAATGGTAACAAATGGTGCATCCTGATGAATGGTAACTACGTTGTTACTTTCAAGTTTTCTGAATATCTGAAACTTTTCAAAGTAAAAATATGGGAGGAAAAAAATCCAAGTCAGACCCTGTCATTCATCTCTTCAAGGCCCACAACAGCTCCTCATTTCACTCTCAGTAACAACCAATCCTCAGGCTCCACATAACTCAGCCCCTGGTTCCTTCTCTGTACTCCTCATCCTGCACTGGGCCTTTCACCTCGCGGCCTTTGCACATGCTGTTCTTGCCCAGAAATGCTCTTTCTTCAAGTACCTACATGGCTAACTCACCTCTTCAGGCCTCTGCCAAATGTCACTTTCTCAGAGACTCCCTGACACCATATCTGACACCATACAGGCCCCTCTAGACACTCCCTCTCCCTCTTGGCTGCTTCATTTTTCTTTCCCTCTTAATACCACCTAACATACTCTGTGTTTTGCTAATTAACTTAACTGTCTCTCCCACTACAATTTGAGCTTTGAGAGGCAGGAACTTACACCCTTTTCTTTGCTGCTGCACCTCTAGAATTGTTTGGCTTACTGAGGGCACTCGATGAGTATGCCCTGAATAAAAGCCGTCAACAGCTCCTCTCACTCTACTCACTACTCAGCTGCTCCCTGTGACCAGGCCTTCGCCATGCTTGTCCTGACATTTCCCAAACTTCTGGCCTTCCAGCCAATTCTCTGAGCGCCCCAAAACATAGCCGGTACTCTTTCACTGCTCCTTTGCGCTCCAGTTGGTTTTTCGGGCTTCTACCCAGAACGGACCAGGGCCACATCTAGTGGAAGGAATGCTCCAAGGCCTGGATGAAAATGCTGCACTGATTCCAGTGTGATATGCAGGGAGGGGCTGCATTAGGCCAAAGCCCACCTACTGCCTGTTTCCTTACAGCTCATGAGTGAAGAAGGGTTTTTACATTGTTAAATAGTTTTGTTTTTAAATCAAAAGAATATTTTATGACAAAATTATTCAAATTCAAACTTAGGGGTCTACAAATAAAGTTTTATTGGCACACAGCCACACTCATTCATTCATTCATATACTGTCTGTGGCTGTTTAACACTCTAGCAGCAGAACTGAGCAGCTGCAACCATGAAGCCTTAAATATTTACTGCTTGGTCAACTACAGAGAAAGTTTCAAGGCCGCTGTTTCAGGGGATGGGCCCGGTAAGACCTCCTGGGCAAATCCCCACTGTAAAAGAAATAATCAGGACACTCGTCTTGAGGAACTGGGGTCAAAACATCTTCCTGAAAAGCTAACATTCTGGCCTTTTCCTGAAGAAACTGGGACTGCTTTTCATTTAAGCTCTCTGCTCAATTAAGTCTTACGGAAAATTATTTGAGCGATTACCTTGTCAATTCTCCCAGGTACCCTTAGCTGGTACCCCCTACATGCACAAAAGGGAAATTAATTCATTTCATAAAATGAATGTCATAGGGCATCAGGATTTCATTCTGCTAAGAAACCTTGGATGAGGACGGACTACAGATGCAACCTAAAAATCAAAGTCTCCCTGACTAAGAAAGATCCCTCTGTTCCAGGATTCTACGGGCACAACTACAGCAACCCAGGCAGGAAACTGAGTCCTGCTTGGCGTGGGCAGTGGGTCTGGCGTTCTCACAGCACAGCACCTCCAGCCTTCTTTGAGTCCCTGTGCTAAGCAAGCCCACAGATCTGGCCCCTTAAAAGCCTCTGACACCCACTCTCTCCACCCGCCACGGCAGCCTCTCCAGCCCACAACGCACCAGTGGGGAGCCCCAGAGTGAAGTACTTGTCTGGCCCTGGGTTAAACTGGATGATACGGTTCCTGATGTATTTGGCGGCCCACTCACTGGCCTGCGAATAGTGGTCCAGGATGATGAGTTTCATCTTGTTCTGCGGTGGGGAGAAGAGTTAACAAAACGAAGTTAACATCCGGCAAGGAGCAGGGGCAGAAAGGAAACGGAGAAGGTTGGGGCTGAGGAAGAAGCCCCTCTAACCGCGCACCGACCACCTTTCCAAACTGAGTAAGAGAAAGGCCCTGACTTTTTAGTTCAGAGCAAAATCCTGGGTGGAAAGGAAGGTGCTACTGTGAGGCACAGCTAGGTTCTAATTTCAGCGCCCCCATTTTTTTAACCAATCAACGACCCAACCTCATAAAGCAGCATCCAGGCCTACATAAGAAAGCAGTAGTACCTACCTCCCCAGTGGCATGATAGGAATACCATAGTAAAGGAGAATGGGGTAAACATAGTATTCGATGTCAACCATTATTACCTCCTAGGTAGACTTAAGTCCCACTCTCTTCACCCCTAGTCGCATCCAGGATGGACACGCTACCTCCTTATATTCCCCCTCAGTCACTGGAGGCCATGGTATTACAGACAGCCAAGATAGGGAGAAATATTATAGGCAGTCAGACCGGGCTGGGCCCTCAGAGTCAACGTAAAAGATGACAACACAGCACAACTGTGGCCGGAGTCGCATCTGTTGGACACCAGGCCTACGGGCATTCCCAAGAGATAAGGTAAGTGGCAACACCTGGTCCAAGACAGTCTAGGTAGACATTCGTCCCCTAGGTGGGTGACCAAGACCCTCGGACCCACTCCTTCCTGAAAAGCTACTTGTTCTTTCCTTGCGCACTTGCTGCGTGGCCTGCTTCCCCATTGGACAAACATTGCCTAATTAGCTATACTTGTAATCTTACTGGTTGACCATAGTTTTGTCGCTCTATAAAACTTCCTCTGGAGCCGGGCGTGGTGGCGCACGCCTGTAATCCCGGCACTGGAGTGGCTGAGGCAGGAGGTTCGTTGCGAATTCGAGGCCAGCCTGGGCTACAAAGTGAGCTCAAGGCCAGCCTGAATTGCACAGGGAGACCCTGACTCAAAAAAAAGAAAAAGAAAAAAAAAAAAACAACTTCCTCTGGAAAGTGGGGTCCACGGCAACCCACTGGCAGCCCCTCCAGCCTCTCAGAAGTGGTCTCTCCCTCAGTACGATTTCCTACTCTTAACCTCTGCTGTTCCTTAGAATTCATTCTCCGATTTTGGGGAACACGAACTCGACGTCCGGGAACCTAACGGGCTGGGGGTTATAATGTTTCCCCTGTATCCTTGGAGGTCCCGTATCATGGGGTCCTCTCGGGTCACTACAGAAGTGGGGGCCCCTGCTTCTTGGGGACACGCGTTCTTTTTCAGTTCTGGGCAGTGGGTGCTCCCACCGCCCGCCTTACTTGGCAGAACCCTCCTGGGTCTTCAGCTCCCCACAGAGGACGCGGGACTAAAGTAGCCCCTCCACAAGGAGGGCGTTCGCCACCCTGCACCCCAGCGCCGCGATCACGGAGGGGGGAAGCCGGAGGCAGAAGTGGCCCGCGCGGTGGTCGGTGGGCCGCGTTCCCCCTCCCCATTACGACCGCAGCGCCTCGGCCCCCACGGGCAGGGGTGAGAGCCGGTCGCCGGGGTCCCGGGCCCCCCACCCGCCGGGAGGGCCCCGCCTACCCCGCTCCGCACTTACGAGGACGCCTCCCGCGGCCGCAGCAGCAAGGACTAAGGCGCCCCGCCCAGCGCAGGCCACGTGACCGCGGTCACGCGGTGCGCGTCTGACTCAGCGGAGGGGGGCGCACTCCGCAGCCCAGGCCCCCCAGGCCCCGCCCCCGGCCCAAGCTGGGCCCGGATAGCGGGCGGGGAAGAGCGTGGGAGGCGCGCTCGCCCTCCGGAGGCGGGGTCACAGCCTGCTTTGCCGGGGAGCGAGGAGACGTGGAGGCGCCAGGTGTCTCCCTGGATCGCTGCGCCCTGGCCGCGAGCTGGGCCTGGGGTCAAGGAGAGTGAGTGCGGAATTCATTGCGAGCAATGAATTGGCCTGGCACTGTCTACAGTTTGTTCCTATGTCATTTATTCGCCTAGATACTGCCGCTTTCTTGATTTAAATATAATTGGGTTTTGATGTTTTTAAGATCAAACTTTGCAGCCAAGCTTGGTGGCGCAAGCCTGTAATCCCAGCACTGGGGAGGCTGAGGCAGAAGGATCGCTGTGAATTCGAGGCCAGCCTGAATTACAGAGCAAGGCCCTGTTTCAAAAAACCTAAAAAAAACAAACAACAACAACAACAACAAAAAAAAAACCGCAGTGTACATTTTCAGTATTTTTCTATATGCTTACTCTGTTAATCAGAGCAAGTGTATGTATGCATACAGCCAAAGTCAAGAATTTGACTAGCATTCTTTCACTTAATCTCTACTAACTCAAACGAGGTGTTCTTGTAGGTGGAGAAACGGGTTTAGAGAGAAATTACCTTGGCCAGGGGCATAAGCAACTTCCACAAGACTTCAGGTCAGGTAAATCTGTCCAAATCCCAAAGCTATACTTTTAACCCTAGCTTACATTGCCTACAAATTGCTATGACAAGCAGATTTTGGACAGTTTTTGTGTCAACAAGTGATGTCCTCGCTGGCAGGGCAGTTGTCAATCAGCAGGGCGGCCAGAGCTGCGGTTTTCTTGACTCTGCTTGCTGTGACAGCCCCAGGCTCACTGGCCCTTGGCCCCAGCTCCTGCTGCGGACCTGCTTGATGGGGGCGGACTTCATCTCCTCCATCTCATCCCCAGTGAGAGCAGGGATGGTGGAGTCGATACCATCACACTTTAAGGACTTGTTCTTTGCCCTCAGTGTTGTCGTAGTTTTTAATCTATGTTTAAAGTGGAATAGCAGGGGCTGGGGATTTAGCTCAGCGGCAAAAGCGCCTGCCTGGCATGCGCAAGGTCGTGAGTTCGGTTCCCGGTACCGGAGAAAAACCACACACACACACACACACACACACACACACACACACACACACACACACAAAAAGTGGAATAGCAATCTCATCTCAGGGTGAGGGTTGCAGGTTGTTTAGCCCCAGTCTCCAGACCTAAGAGCTGACACAGACCTGGTCTGCAGCAGCTGCGTATGAGCTTCTTGGGAATGACTCGCGTGGCTTAAATCGAGCCAGGATCTTCAGCGTTGCCACTTCTGGGGGGACCTGTGTGAGAGTCCTTTCAAGCCGGGAGGCACTGGACTTGCATAGCTCAGGACTCATCAGAAAGGCCGGGCTTGAACTCCATCTCACCAGCCTCGGCTTCCTGAGGGAATAACTCAAGCAAATGATCAGTTTTTGCAGGTCTCACTTCTCTTATCCGAAACATGAGAATTAGGTGGCAATTGAGCAACGCTGTCCTCGCACGGCCATTGTATTACTTGAAATGCTAGCACAGCATGGAATTCATGGCCAGGCGTGATCACCCCTGGTTCCCTCCTCACGGCCCACCCCAATCACAAGGACAGGCTGTCCCAAACCTCCTGCCGTCTGTGTCCCTTCCATGCCACACCAATGTAAACTGTTACCCACTCACTCTCCCAGCCTCTTGTCTCGGAACTACAGTTGGCAACTTAGAAGAACTGTGACGTCGTACGGGGCGACCCTGCAGCTCTGTAAGCACAGATGTTTTCACACCCTCTGATACATCCTTGCTTTGGGAAAACACCCTGTCTCCATGCCCAGGACGTCCAGCTTAGTCCACTGGGTTTGGAGAGAAACCCAAATACTGTGGATCATTTTGAGTCACACAGTTGGGTGAATAAATGAGTGAATACATAAATAAATGTCTTTTTAAAAAAAAATTCCCCTTGAAGCTAGTAGAAATTCTGGAAGGGTATTTTATTAATTAGCTATTGCTGCATAATAGATGACCCCAAAACCTGGTGGCTTAAAATAATTGTGTTATCGCCCATGGGCTAGAAGTTTAGACAGGCAGAATAGGGGTGATACCTGGGACTTCAGGTGAAAGGTGCAGGGTCTGGGGCTGGGGTCAGGAAAGCACACCCGCTGTCACGCCTGGCGATGTGTGCTCACTCTCACAAGAAAGTTCACATGTGGCCTGTCCTTGTGGCCTGTGTTTCCTCGCAACGTGGGGCCTGGTTGCAAGGGTGAGCACACAGCGGGGCACCCATGGCCTAAGGTGGTCTCCTGTGTAGCCTCAGAAGGCAGGTAGCATCACTTCTGCTGTGCTCTGTGGGTTGGGGAGATCACAAGCTCCCATCCAGATTAAAAAAAAAAAAAAAAGAACACACCCCCATCTCTCTGTGTGAGGAGTTCAGGAAGATTTTTAGAAGAGCATGCTGGATGATATAGATATTTAAGTATGGCCATCTTCAGAAAATACAGTCTGCGTAGACACAGACTAACCTCTAAAATTAGCACTTGACCAAAGTAATTGTTCTGAGCCGGGCACTGGGCTCAGGGTCTTCAGTCACTGTCTATTGACTCCTCAGACTACTGCGTTTGTCTCCATTTTCATGTATGTTTATTGTGGTTCTTGATTTGTACAGTAGGATTATGGGGGACTGTTTACTCTCTGCCTAGTATGTGTATGAAAGGAATGACTTGGTCTTATTAAAACAAGAAAGCTTTAAAAACTTCAGTCAGTCTGTTTTATGAGTCTATCCAACCCGCAAGTGCCACCTCTTCTTTGTGATCTCTCTTACTCATTTGTAAACTATTTAATGAGCCTTTCCTGTATTATGTACCTTTACTGTTTTTGGTTCTGAGGATGTAGTAGTAAACAAAACATGTCTTTGTGGACCTTCAGACTCTAGTGATTAAATGTTGATGAATTTTAGTAACTCAACATGATAGCCAGCCTCTAAAATGACCTCTAATGCTTCATCCTCTCAAATACACCCATTCCACAATGCACAGGGACATCCCACAATGCATAGGGACATCCCACAATGCACAGGGACATCCCACAATACACAGGGACATCCCACAATGCAAAGGGAAGCTCAAAGAGCCTTATGAAAAAGCCAAGGTGGAGAGGAAATGAGATGTCCTTCCTGTAGCCACAAACGCCATCTCAGAATGACATCTCATTTCCCTCCTTGGGCTTTCAGATGACTGTGCCTTGCCCAGTATCTCAAATGAAACTTCATGAAAGACTCTCAAGCATAACAATTAGATTGTGCCTGAATTCCTGACCCACAGAAGCTGGGATATAATAAACATTTGCTGTTTCAAACTGCTAAAGTGTGGAGTGGTTTGATATGCAGCAATATATCCAATACATACAGAAAAATCCCACAAGTGCAGAGGGTGGTGTGCAGGAGATTTGACTCCTGCCCCCACTGCCTTCTGCCTGGAGGAGCAGTCACTGAACCAGCGGATTCTCCACTTCCTACTGTGCACATCTGCACAGCGCCCTCTGTGGGTGGGCTCTCCTACAGCTCTGCCACTGGGCCTTTCCTCTGACCAGTTTCTGTCTTCTAATCTCTTAAGGCTGTCTTAGTCACATTCTCAAGGCTGGGACAAACGAGGCACCTACAGCTTAAAGGATGAGGGGTTTATTTTGACTTATGTTTTCAGTTCTTGGTTGGCTGGCTCAGGGCAGAGCAGTCTGGTGGAAGAGCCTGGGCAGAGGTAAAGCTGCTCTTATCATTGCGATCAGGAAGCAGAGAGAGCAAGGGAGAGAACAGAAGAGAGAGCTAATACCCTCCCCCAGGGAGATGCCTTTTCTGACCAGCCCTCACCCACCAGCGGCTGAACCTACCAGTAGATAATTCCACTCATGGGTACAGCACCCCATGATCCAGTCACCTTCCCCAAGCCCCTGTGAGCACATGAGGCCTTTGGGGGCTTTTTTATTTGAAGTTTTTTGAGACAGGGTCTTGCTGTGCAGTCCAGGCTGGTCTTGAACTCACTATGTGGCCCAGGCTGGCCACAAACTCATGGCGATCCTCCTGCCTCATCCTCCCGAGTGCTGGGATTATAGGCATTCACCACCACATCTGGCCTTCTTTACTCTTTTTAATGAGCTGAATCTCACAGAGATTGTGTCTTGTACCATTCAGCTCAGGACTTTGTACATAAAAGCCAAAGCCCTATGTGGTTCAGGTCCTAGATCAATGACTTATTACTTGAGAAACTTTCTCACATTTTTTTCTTTCTCCTTTTTTCTTTCTTTTCATTTAATTTCTTTGTTTTTTCTTCTTCTTCTGGTATTGGGGGTTGAACGCAGGGTTTTATGCACTTAACTACCTGCCAAGCTTTTTTTTATTTTGAAGTCACTGAATTACCCAGAGTAATGGCCACAGCCACTGCCTCCCAGAATGCTGAGGTTATAGGCTTGCACCACCATGCCTGCTAGCTGGGACACTTTCCTTAGCTTCTCTGTGCCTCAGCTTCCTCAACTATAAAATAGGTATGACAACAATGGCTACTTCTGAGGCGGCTCTGAAGATCAAATGGGCTGGCACATGTTCAGCATTTGGAACTGTCCTGTCACATGGTAATCCCATGGAAAAACCAGTTTTTAGTAAATTAAACCATATGAAATTGACATTTTTCTGGATCAAAAGCTATTAAATGTCAGCAATCACATAGGCTTAACCTAATATTATTCTTATCCTTTCATTACATTAAATTGAAAGAAACCCAGCAAATAAAAACAATCACATTTTTGTTATTGTTGCTAAAAGGAGGTCCAAGAGGACCTAAATCAGAGCTCGAACACCCCTTGAAATTCTCCGTGCCTTATTTCTTTCGCTGTTAATCAGCAGACCTTCTTTGCTGTTTATTCTCAACTCC